TATATATATTCTAACACAAGAAATACTCCAGCCACACTAAATCTGTACTCAAGGTACTGACTGTGAAAACTTTGGCAGACAATCCCGTTTGCACCTCAGTCAGAAATCACATTACCTCTTCCACACGGCAAGGGCTGATCGCCTAGCACTTGGTCAGGAGTTCTACTTACAAGCCTGCCTTTACTGAGCATCTTCCGAGTGCTAAGGACTACCCCCAAAATATCAGCTTGTTAGCCTATAATCACGCCAGTCAGTAGGCTGGTGCTGAGGCAGGGGGACCAGTACAAGTTCAAGGCCAGCCTACCCTTCCCAGCAAGTGCCAAGTCCGACAGAAATATAGTGAGATGCCATCTCAGCAAATAAATAAGACGAAACAATATGCAGGTGGTTCTCAACCTGTAGGTCACAACCCCATTAGGGTTTGAATGACCCTTTCAGGGGAGTCACCTAAGACCATCCCACCAGAAAACACAGATGTTGACATTATGGTTCGTAACAGTGGCAAAATATAGTTATGAAACAGCAACAGGCATGGTTTTATGGTTGGGGTCACCATAACCTGAGGAGCTGTGTTAAAGGGTCGCAGCATTTGGAGGTTGAGCCCCACTGCTCCAGTGACGGTGTCACGGTCTTTGGGGTGGTCATTAACCGTGAGCAGCCGTCCCAGCCCCTCACATGCTGCTCCTCCGTGACAGCACTGTGAGGCATAGGCTGAGGAGGTCCCGAATGGACCACCGTCACGGCTCTCGGGGTTCCCCGGGGCACTCACAAGGCTAGGTGCCGCGGTGCCCTCTTCCCTGCAAGCAAGCTCAACCTGAGTAAGCAGGAAGGTAACCTGCCTCTTTGAAATACTGCACACACTCCAGCTGGAGATGACTCTCACTTGAGCTGAACCCTGTCCCGTGATTTCTGAGCATGGTGTATAATGTAAATAAATACATTTATCCTAGTAAAAACTACTAATGCCTAATGTTAGAAAGTACAATGACACATACGTGCTGAATTGTCATAATGCAACCCAACATTTCATAACTAACTTAAGTAATTCAGAGAGTTAGCTGGCCGAAGACTGTGTTCCCCCTCTCTGTGTTTCTGAGCTCTCTGAGAGCGGCATGCACTGTCTGCATCCCTCTTGTCTGAGTCCCCAGGCTCACGTACATTATCACCCTCGCTCCTCAGCTTCCAGAAGGGGTGGATGTAGAACCAGGACCCTTCATTCCCGGCAGCATCCAGTGACACACGCATGGCGTTCTTCTCCAGCAAAGCGGGTAACCTCTTGTTGACAGTCAGGTACTTGTTGCTTTTTATATGAAGCAGCTGCAGGAGAAATATGTGTGTTAGAGCCTGTACCCATGGTCTCCTCAGGTAGCCATGGTCATAAATCCACACACCAGCTCGGTCTGAAGACTGAACACGGGAACTATTTTAAGGCTTAGACCCACTAACTTCCCAAGCTGCCTGCCTGTCTCCTCCTTGCTTCCGCCCCAAGTTCTGCTTCAGGGGTGATGGTGGCAGCCTAAAGAAGACATACTAGGGACACTAAAGACACCTCTATCCACCGAGAAACAACAGGCTAGCACCAGGCTTTCCACAAGAATCTCACCCATTTCCAATACTTGTGCATCCATACAAGCAGAATCTGCCAAAGAACATCAAAGCCTGGGAGAAGGTACAGACCTACTAGGCGCCCTAAGCTCCTCCGCCCATCAACAGCACGAGCGTTCTCTGTCTCTGTCTCTCTGTCTCTGTCTCTGTCTATCTCTCTCTCTGTCTCTCTCTGTCTCTGTCTCTCTCTGTCTCTCTCTCTGTCTCTCTCTCTCTGTCTCTCTCTCTGTCTCTCTCTCCCCGATGTCAAATGAGTCAGCAAGGAGACGCTGACCCCACTTCTGAGACTCATGCAGGAGGACCATTGCTTCTCCCTTCACAGATGCCATTGGCAATCTTCCCCAAACTAAACCTCACTGGGGAGAACTACGAAGACAAAGCAAACTTCCCACCTATTTCCAAAAGCCTTCAGAAGAGAATGGACATTTTAGCGCTCACAAGATGAGGCAGAAGTTATTTCAGAGTAAAGTGGCAAATTTTTAACTGAAGAAAGAATCACCTTTGTGCAAACCTCCAGGTCCCACCCTTGGTCCTGCCTGTACTGCTAAAGGCATGGACACCCACAAGCCTGGGCGGCAGCTCAGCTGATCAAGTGCTGCCTTACAAGCACAAGGGCCTGAGTTCAAGTCCCAGGTTAAGGAGTCAAGCGAGGTGAGGAGGCACACACTTGTAAGCCCAGCACCGGGGAGGCATATCCTGGACTCCCTGGCATCAGCCTTGCTGGATCCACAAGTCCGGGCTGTGAGAGCCTTAGTCCCCCGAAACAACATGGGACCACTGCTAAGAACAATATCTGAGACGAGGCTGACTTCAGGCGTCCAGGCTCACATGCATGCACACATACAGGCACGCACACGTTCACACACACACACACACACACTCTCTACACACCCATGTGTCTGCACATACATGTGTGTGTTCACATGCATGCACATACATACATGCACACACATGCATGTTCATACACGCACACTTCACACACAGACACTTAAGCACCTGCACACGAACACACATGCACACATGCACTTGTACACACACACACACATCCTCAAGCCTGAGTGTGTACCTCTAGGGTCCATGTTAAAGCACTAAGCACAGCCCCTAAGACAAGCATTTGTACTTGAAGTACTTGACAAGGAGCTGAAGTGAGTGTCCTAAACTCAGCGAAGAGACATCTCTGGATGGGGGCTGCAGTCCCACCAAGGCCAAAAGTCACTCCCTCCATCACTAGATGAGGTCACACATACGAGAGGCTGGGGCCAGTCCTGTCCTGTGGGGAACAGCTCTGCCATGGCCTCTGGCACACTGCCACTGGTCGATGACAAAACACCAGGAGACATTCTTCTTTAAGGCGGCCTTATAAAGGCTCGTTGTGGTGGTTACTGTAAGAAACCTGTGCAACCACTGGTTACCATTTTAAACGGTTTCCTCTTTATGTACTCTCGAGAGAAATGCCTGCCTGGTCTCTCTTCTGGGGACGGCTGTGCTTCTAGACTCCAGATGGGTGCGATACTGTGGACTTCCACTACCAGGGAGGGCTACGGCGAGCCTTTCCTAAGGCCAAGCAGCAGCAACAATGCCTTGGGCTGGAGTCAGCAGCAGCAGCAGCAACAATGTCTTGGGCTGGAGTCAGCAGCAGCAGCAGCAGCAGCAGCAGCAGCAGCAGCAGCAGCAGCAGCAGCAGCAATGCCTTGGGCTGGGGTTTACCAAACTTTCTAACCAAGCCTTCACCTCATCCAGCTACCCAGTATTTTCCCTCTGACCCAGATGCCTCCCTTGATGACTGGGCTTGACCTCCCCATGCACTGTGTTTCTTGGAAAAGGTCTCACATTCCTTTTGGAACAAGGTGGGGCACTTACTAGCAAACAAACAACAACAACAAAAAGCCTAAAAGACCCAAATGAAGCAGGGGAAAGGAATGCAGCCGAGATAAATCAGTGTGCACGCTGGCGTGAAGACTGGAAGTCAAAGGAAGACTGCGTATACAGTCTGAAAACTCTCCTCCCCCCAGGGAAAAGATACAGCTCCAACATGGGGTTGAAGATAGTCATAGTTACCATCTTCTTATGATCCAGCCAAGACATTTCCAATACAAGACTTAGACTCCTTAGGATAGAATGTTTATTAAAACATTTAGCATATGTTCCTTGTTTAATATTGTTTATGCTGATTGTAATTCTAATCTTATGCTTGATATCTGTCCCTAGTGTATATTGTTTTGTATCGGGTTTGGTACTCTCTTACTTAAACAAAAGGGGGAGGTGCTGTAGAAGTTTCTTCCGCTCCTTCAGCCAATAGCCTTTAAGATACCAACCCACTTGGGTGTGGTCTTTTTCCGCTTTAAAAAGCAGCTGTAGCCATGCTTGCTCTTTCTTGCTTGGGCTCCACTTCTGGCTGCTAGACTCTGGTCCTGGTTGCACAGAGGGCTGTTGTCTAGGATGGTGATCTGTAAGTTTTACTTTTATGAGCACCAACCCACCCATCTAAAGGACTGTATTCTGGACCTTACAAACCCTCTTGCACAGTCTTGCCTTTGGTAACTCAGACCCATCTAGAGATCAGTTTTCTGTGTGCCCGCACGGATAGCCTATGTTCGGTGCTTGCGGGCTGGCACCATCGGGCCTGGCACCAGATGTATTCAGTACGCACGTGTTACGATGGATGTCCACAGAAACCTTCATCCTAATTATAATCCCCACCAAAGGACAAACACGGTACCCCAAATGTTTCATACAACTAGGCAGGTGGGTAATTTGACAGGTCACCCCTAAAACGCTTCCCTCTTTGAGGACGAAATGGAGACTTACTTGTATAACATTGCTGTATTTCACGATTTCTCCCAAAAGTTTCCTGTTCTCTGATTCATTCTGCTTTTGTTCCAGTTCCGCAGCATGCTGCAAGGGGGCGACCCAGTATTTAGTGTGGAGACATAGCAAGCAGAGAAGATGGTTTACAAAGTATTCTCAGTGACGAGAATAAACCAGACAGGCTGCGTTACTGGAGAGTTGGAAGGGCGGTGTGGGGAGGAGGTGAGACAGGGTTTCTCTGTGTGGCCCTGGCTGTCCTGAAATTCACTCTGTAACTAAGCCAGACTGAAGCTCAGAGATCTGCCTGTCTCTGCCTCCCAAGTGCTGGGATTAAATGTTTGCACCGCCAAGCCCAGCAAGGAAGTTTTCTGTTATTGGGGGCATATGTACACTAGGCTCCCAGATCCGCCCCCACCCCAAGTGTGTGTGGCAACTTGGCAGTCTGTGCCGAAGGCAGCCAAACCTGTCTTGGGCCATTTGTTTCTACACTGAAAATGTCAGTTAAGTAGAAGGTTCTTTGGAGCTAGGAACTTTTCTACGATGGGACTTGAAAGTGTTAGAAAGGCAGGTGAATTAAAATCTCAATGGATAGCTTCCAATTCTGAGAGTTTTGTTAAATGATACAAAACTTAGCACTAGCAAATTCACAGTCAGTCAAAAAAAATCTTTTATTTTCTCCGCAGACTGATGGGGGGGGTACTAGATGGAGTAAACTATAATTAGATTTAACGGTCAGGGGTTTTCATTCCTTTTCAGCTCGGTGAGCAGTTTAGAATTAGCCTGGCACACCTTAAAAAATAACAGTGGGGACGTTTTGCCCACATGCCAGGAAATAAGTAGGTACGCCTTGCAACCGACAACCATGTCCCTCTGCACCGCGCCTCGGGTCTATCTGAAATCTCTCTCTGCCTGCTGGTGAGATCAACAAGCCTGGCGGGCTGCTTGTTATTGCTGCTCCCAGGCCAACCTCGGAGGAATATGGCTGCCGCTTACCTGGAGCTTCTTCAGCAAGGCAGCTTCCGTGTGGTTTCCTTGCTTCGCCTGCTTGGCTTTCCAGTATTGCTTCTGGGCAGAGTATCGATTCATAGGGCACACCTTGAAAAGGCAGTCTGAGAAACAAACAGAGCGATGTTACTAAGGCTGCGGGCACTCTCCAGACACCCTTTGCAAGCCTAGTCTGTGGTTCTGGGATCTCTTAGCATCTGAGAGGTCATTCAAAGGTCATGTCACAGTCATTCTCTGAAAAGGTCTTAAATTACTCTAAAACATCCTTTTCAAATACCCAGTTAGATTTCATTAAAATAGATAAGTCTTCATTAGGGTTTTACAAAACATTGTAGCTCGTGTGATTCATGAGGAAGTCAATCCAGTGACGATATAAGGCAATTCTTCCAATTTTGATTGGCTTTGGATTTTTTGAGACAGGGTCTCATATAGCACAGGCTGAACTCCATCTCACTAGGTAGACAAGGATGACCATAGGCGACCCTGGTGGTGGTATCTCAAGCATAATTCTCTCCCTGGCGGGACAAGCGGGCTCCGAGTCCTCCATGTGTTAGTGGTTTCCTAGGATCATGAGGTGATCTCAACATGAAATACAGGTCAGCTCCCAAGGTCTAGGGTGTCCTGGATGGTCCTCCTGTTTCGGTGGTAAAATACTCTTCCTAGCGCTGTCTCACCAGCCACAGACAGGGAGAAGGGAAGGCTGGCTGCGTGCTGCCCAGCGTCCTCCACTGACACAGCCCGGGATCCCAGCCAGGAGCCATGCTGCCTACCTCGTATAAGGTCAAACATGCAAAGGCCAAACAGACAAATAAGATAAAAAAAATTCTGGCAGGCATAGTGGCACATGCCTTCAGTCACACACAGCACTTGGGAGGCACAGGCCGGCAGATCTCTGTGAGTTCAAGGTCAGCCTGGTCTACCTAGTAAGTTCCAGGACAGCCAGGGCTACAGAGTGAGTTACAGGACAGCCCGGGCTATGTGGTAAGACTGTCTCAAAAAGACAGAAAAAAAAACCAACCAACCAACCAACCAAAAGAAAAATTTCCTTTAAAAAAACTTACTTTGTTTTAATAAATGTGCTACTATTTAGAGTCAGTCTCACTTTCCAAGGGTGTATCAAAACACAAAAATCAGTAGAATCAAATATCCATTGAGCCGCATTCTCAACTATCCTAATGGTATAAAATGACTAAGGGCTGTGGTGGCTGAGCAGAAATGCCCCACAGACGTGAATGCTTGGTCACGAGGGAATGGTGTGCTTGACGGGGGATTAGGAGGCCTTGTTGGAGACAGAGTATGGGGGGCCTTTGGGGTTTCAAATGCTTAAGCCAGGCCCAGTGTCTTTCTTTCTCCACCCGCTGCCTGTGGATACAAACATAGAACTCTCGGTTACGTCTCCAGCACCTGTCCGCCTGTGTGCCACCACGCTCCCTGCCATGAGGATGGTGGACTAAACCTCTGAAATTGTAAGCCACTCCCAGCAAAAGCTTTCTTTTGTAAGAGTTGCCGTGGTCATGGTGTCTCTTCACAGCGATAGAACAGTAAGACAAGGAGAATGGCTAAGATTTTTAAGAAATTAAAAGCAGGAGACATAATGACCTTATAATTACATGCATAGATTCTCGTTTTATGTGTTTATTTGGACACTGACTGCTAGAGAGTAACTTGAGGAAGGTGGCTCTCTCCCTCCACCTTGTAAACTGCAGAGACTGAACGCACCAGGCCTCACAGGCAGCCTTCCCCCACCAAGTCATCCTGTCCCACAAACTCTATCAACTGCCCTGTTTTCATATACAGAAAATTAACTCGGAATTTCTAACTTTATACTAACATGAAGCTGCAGAGATGGCTCAGTCATTAAAAGACCCCCCGCTCTTCCACAGGACCCGAGTTCGGATCCCAGCACCCACACTGGATGACTCAGAACCAAACATCTGTAACTCCAATTCCAAGTGATCGGGTTTCCTTCTGGCTCCCACAGGTACTAGCACATACACACACACACACACACACACACACACACACACACACACACATCTAAATAAAAATAATTTTTAAGGCCCTGTCTCAAAAAGTCAAATCAGATAAAGAAATAATTTTAAGAAATACTAATATGAATAAAAGTTTGTTCATTTGGTTTGGCAGTGCTAGGAATTGTCCTCAGGGCCTTGCACGCACTATGCAAACACCAAGCTATAGTTGCACTCACTAAGATTTACCACTGAGATAAAACCCTAGGCTGAGAATGCATAGTTTGTATGGGGTAGAAAACAGACACCTTCAAAACGCTAACCCAGGTTGAAGACCATCACAGCTGCCATATGACTCAGATGTACCTGGCCCATGCCTGTGAAGACCAAAGGCTACAGTTGAGACGTGTTGTCCTTGGCAGCATGTCCTACAAGGCTCAGAAATTATTTCCTACATATTAGCAATAACAAAGAGGGTTACACAAAGTTTTGAAGCACAAATACTAAGGTTGCTCACAAGCAGCCATGAAAGAAGGTCTGTGAGTTAATGCTGTAGATTATTTCAACAAATATGAGGCCGGTAACAAAACTACACTGTCTTGGTGCAGCAAAAGCACAGGTTGATGTTCAGGCAGAGCAGAGCCCTCTGACCCATGGCCGTACTCATCGACTCATTCCCTTGTGAAAAAGGAAGCAACAGCTACAGGTTCCTGTCGTCGTTCATCAGGAAGGGGTCTTTTGACACGGAAAATACTTTTGGGTAAATTCCAGAACGCCCCAATGCTACTCCTTTGAAATGGCACCTTTAGGTAGCTAGAAAAATGTCTCCATAGACAGTATTGAGGCCTGAGTACCTGGCTGAATAGGTTAGGAAAAACCAAACACTCAACCGTGCTTACTGTAATCCCCAACAGTCGTCCTGCCTCTCCCTCGGGTGGTATGACTCAGACCCCACCCTCAGGAAGCTCACTGTGGCCAAGTTTCCTGTGGAGGGTCTCTGGAGAAGGTGCCTAAAGACTGCTCCTTGGGACTCTCCCACAGGTGACAACTGGTGTCAGTAAACACGCAGGAGGATTGGGAGTGCAAGACAGTTTGCACTGAGAGAACACAGGCCAGACACCTCCTGTGGAAAAGTTGTTACTGGGGGTGTGGTGCTTATGTTGACTAGTTTTCTCTCGCTGCCTCCTCTAGAGCGTGTTCGGGAATATATAGTAACCTTGAGCTGGTCAGATGTTTTGTCCAATTCTATTTTTACTGCCTAACAAAAGTATAATAATGCCTGCCGACACCTAATTCCCAGCGGTGCTGAGGCGGACAGAAAGATAATCTGTGTGAAATCTCTGTGAACTGTGAAGCCTGTCATAAATGTGAGGCTGGATGATTAATGCTGCCTCCTTCTGTCAGTCAGAGCCCCATGAAGACGCAGAGTTGACTATGCCCTCAGCAAGCGGCAAAAAAGCAGCAATTGAGGTCCAACCTGAAAACACCCCGAGAGTGTGCAATTAACATCAAGTCCACCTTTTCAGTGGAAGACGGCCCTGTGCGTGTTTGTAAAAAGTTCTTGGAGTCCATGCAACACAGTGGCATTGAGCAAAGGAAACACTTGCCGCTGTCTTGTGGCTCAAACGCGCAGTTTCTGTCACAGTCCCAGCGTGGGTGGCACCTCAGACAGGCCCTCTTCTTCCTGTTGGCAGAACTCGGCTAGTTCAGAGTCACCCAGACCTAGGCAGAGCTTCCCAAACCTGCTGTCAACGTTAGCATGGTTTATGTGAGGTAGAAAACAGACACACCTAATCCAAGAATTCAGGAGGCTGAGACAGAGGATTGCCATGAGTTTAAGGCCAGCCTAGGCTACAGCGTGAGACCCTGCCTCAAAACAACAACAAAAAACCCACTAAAGCTAGCTCCCCAAATTCCTGGATCTGTCCAGTCTCTCAACTTGAAAGCCCCCCCCTCATTCAGAAACTAGCTCAGAGCCCCTTTTTAACTAGACAGCAGTCTCCTCATGGTTTCAAGGCTCAATGAGTTAAATTTAAAAAAAAAAAAAAAAACAGGAAAATGAAAAGTTTGCATCATAGAATAATCATGAAAAGCACAAATAAATGGAAGTAATTTGAGTTTAATTCCTTTACAAAATTAACCTTTATTATTATAGGAGTCCAATAATCTGCAGGATTACAGCCTGTCGGGATGTCAGTAAGGCACAATGGGCTCACCTGGTCACCACCTGGTCACCCACCACCTGGTCACCACCTGGTCACCACCTGGTCACCACCTGGTCACCACCTGGTCACCACCAGGTCAGAGGAACCACAGTTCAACATCAGGATTTCGTTTCTATCCACCTTGGAATGGTGGTTCTCAACCTCAGCAATCCTACAGATCAGATATTTATACTACGATTCATAACAGTAGCAAATTGCAGCTCTGAAGTAGCAATGAAAATAAGCTTACGGCCAGGGTCACCACAACACAAGGAACTGTAGTAAAGCCTCGCAGGCAGCGTTAGGAAGGTTGAGAACCAAGGTTGAGCTCTGGGAGGAAATAAAGCCACCAGACACAATCACTTCAGCTGTGTTTCAAACCTGTGTGGAGGGAAGAGCCTTGAAACCTCTTCATGGTGTGCAGCAGAAACTCCACACTGGAAGACACCAAGCTCCAGAACTAAACACACACACACACACACAGGCACACACAGGCACACATACAGGCATGCACACACACATGTACACACGCATGCACACACAGGCACACACATACACACATGCATGCACACACACGCACGCACACACGCACACACACATGCAGGCACACATAGGCACACACGCATGCACACACGCACACACACGCACGCAAGCAAGCATGCACACTTGAAGCCCTGTAAATCCTTCATGAAACCAACCAACACCTCCACTTCCTGCAGCCACTTACTCATCTGAGGTGTTTTGCTTTGTACCCCTAAAATATTTGCCCCTGAGGCTGTTTCTGTCGCCCAGTAACCACCCTCAGCACTCCAGTCAAGACCAGCATGTAAGCCTCAGTGCATCTTGCCAAGGGTGGAGGGCAGGCATGCTTTCTCACGCGCCTTCTTCTTAAAGATGTCTTAAGGCTTCAGTGGGTAGTGCCTATCAACC